ATCTAATCTAGCTGTCTATGGAGATTCTCAGTCATCCAGGTCACAGTTGTCCCAAAGGTGTTTTTTCAAGAGGCAACTGGACTTTCTGGTTTTTTTTTTCTTTTGAAGACATTTCGCTTCTCATCCAAGAAGCTTCTTCAACTCTGGCAAGATAGTGGGGAATGGAAGGATTTATATTCCTTGCAGACAGCTGGTCATTTGCATCCTTTTAGAGGGTCTTTGAAGCATTTGGGGGTTTATCAGTGTCCTCAGGATCACCTGAGTTGTGTTCCTGGTTCCTGTAGTCTGCCATTTTTCCTCTGAAAATCCATTCCTACTTCCATGCCATTCCAAGGGTGTTCATCCCAAATTGTATAGCTAGAAGTCTGTAGAGATTCTCAGTCATCCAGGTTGTGGTTGTCCCACAAGAGGCAACTGGACTTTCTGGTTTTATTTATTTTGAAGATGTTTCTCTTCTCATCCAAGAAGCTTCTTCAGCTCTGACTGTATGGTGGGGGAATGGAAGGATTTATATACGCCTTGATTCCACCATCCGGTCAGAGCTGAAGAAACTTCTTGGATGAGAAGCAAAACGTCTTCAAAGGAAAAAAAAAAAAAAACAACCCAGGGAATCCAGTTGCTTCTTGAAAAAAGCACCTTTGGGATATCTAATCTAGCTTCTCATCCACCGATGATCCACTGACACCACCCTCTCCTTTGCTGACCCTCCGAAAGCCCTCGAACGCCCCTCACCCTCTTTGCTGTTGCTTCCTATCTGCCTTCTCTGCCCAGTGATGCAGATGGCAACAACGCCAAGGAGAAAGATCAACGGCTCCTTGAGGACACTAGGCTGACTACCTCCTCCCCCCACCCTTGAACAAAAGCCTGGAGCCCATCCTGTTCAAACAGGGCCCGTTGTGGTGTTGTTGCCGCCTTAGATGTAAGACTGGCTTTGACCAGCCTGGATCTCTCCAGCGTTGAGGTGAGCTTTGGTTGGGAATGCGAGGCAGATAAAAATGTCTTGACATGAGCCCCGGGGATGTTGGAACTGCCTTAGTAGGTTAGTGCCGAGTCAGGATTCCTTAACAGGCTGCAAGGAGAATCAATAGGAAAGGTGGAGGGGGAAAGTAGAGGGGCTTTTGAGGGAGAAGGGGAGGGGGAGGAATAATATGACGAGCTCTAAGAAAGAGCAATGTAAGTTGGCTGATTTTAAACTAGCAAGATGGGCAAAAAAAATGCCAGCTTCCAAATGCACTTTAAAACAATAAGCACAGACTTTTTAGGGTTCTAAAAGCTTCCTCAGCAGGAAGGACATTTGCATCGTATTTTGCAGCCGCCTTCTCCTCCCTTCCCCTCCCCAACTCAGCAGTGCGAAGTTCATGCAGGCTTTCACCATATAATTCCTCCAGAGCCCCCAGCCTGACGCAGGCTTGCTTGAAAAGAAAGAGCCATGTTTCCCATGGAGTTTGCAGAACGATACAAGTATTGGGGGGGAGTTGTGTGTGTGTGTGTGTGTGTGTTATTTTTAAATGCACAAGTTAGGATGAAATAGGTGGATTCTAAAGAAGCAAAAATGATTAGCCTGAAGGGGGTTATAATGTGGCAGGAACCTATATACTTTGCATACGAAGTGGCCCAGGGAAGCAAGTAATTGAAAAGGCAGAAAATTGCTGTTGTGTTATCAATTCGTAGCCTTGCAGTTCATGTGTTTGTCTTGTCCCTTTTTAAAACCATCTCAATTTGTACGTCGTAATTCTCAGCCATACAGATAGATGCTGGCTGGCTGGCTGGCATAACCGTGCATTCTGAAATACAGCATGTAGGCTGGAGAAAAAAGTACCATGGACAGATCATAGGAGTTACAGATCGTTCTCAACCTCCAGCCATTCGTTCAGCTGCCCTTCGAAGTTACAGTGGCATCGAAAACAGTGACTTGCAACCAGTCCTCGGACCAGTGGTGGGTTCCTCCCGGTTCGGTCCTGTTCTGCAGAGCCGGTAGCGGTGACGATATGACGTCACCGAACCGGTTCTCCCCTCCACCCCGCCCTCCCACCCACCCACGTTATTCTTACCTTTTATTTGGTCCCACCCCCAATCTATTGCTGCCTCCTGAGTCCCAGCTGATGACTAGAGGGAAAAAAACTGTTTAAACTCTTGCCGGGGGGGCTTCAAAGGGCCGTCCTACAGCTGATCAGTGTTAAAAGCAAACAAATGAGTCGGGTCGTAAGTGCAAGGACTGGTCGTAAGTGCGAGGACCTTCCAGAAATGACTCTGACAAGCTAGCCACGTCCACCTAGTCACATGACCCCCAAGCCACACCCACAAAATAAGCCACGCCCACAGAACCGGTAGTAAAAAAATTTAGAACCCACCCCTGCCTCGGACTTACAACTGTTGCAGCATTCCTCACAGTCACGTGATCAAAATTTGGGCACTTAGTAACTGGAATGTAGTTAGGACAGTTGTAGCTGGCATCCTCTGATCCCGGGATCATGTAATTGCCATTTGCCAGCTTCTGGAAGCAACGTCATAGGGCAAGGGTCAGCAACCATAAACACTCAAAGAGCCATTTGGAACTCTTTCCCACAGAAAAGAAAACACCGGGAGCCACAAAACCGTTCCTGTGCTGACTATTTCCTGAGCGACCACAAAACTAGCATATGTAGTTGAATTAAACGTTCTGTTTTCTTCTGAAACTTTTCTTTTCTTGGATTTATCCATGGTTGGCCTACTGGGGTTCGAAAAGCTCAGTAAATCACATGCCAGCAGGTGTCGCACATTGGCAGTTGTGACACATATTTTGAGTGACAGGGAGCCGCAGCAGAGGGGTGAAAGAGCCACATGCGGCTCCAGAGCCGCAGGTTGCTGACCCTTGTCATAGGGGAAGCCGGATTCACTTAATGACTGCAATGATTTGTTTAACAACATGGCAAAAAGGTTGTAAGTCACTTAACTTACATTGCTTAGCAATGTAAATGCTGGTCCCAATTGTAGTTGTAAGCTGAGGACTCCCTGTGCACAAGATGGCCAGTTGTCATCAGAACCCACTTGAAAGTGCCACGTTGGAGAAGATTTCCACCGATAGCTCATAGATATTATAAAGAGATTGTTTGTTTGTTTTCTTTTTACCACCCTGTGATCCCTTTTTATTTTTTTTATTTTTTTTTAATTTTTTTTAAATTTGATTTATATGCCGCCCTTCTCCGGAGACTCAGGGTGGCTTACAATGCGTTAAGCAATAGCCTTCATACTTTTGTATATTTTATACAAAGTCAGCTTATTGCCCCCACAAACTGGGTCCTCAATTTACCCACCTTAGAAAGGATGGAAGGCTGAGTCAACCTTGAGCCTGGCGGGATTCGAACTAGCAGTGATTGCAGGCAGCTGGATGATAATAACAGGCTATTAGTCTGCTGCGCCACCAGCTGCCTCAATGCGAGAGCTCTTTTCAGAATTCTAGAACAATGTTTCTGAACTTTAGCTGTGTGGACTTCAACTCACTTTGTTGGCTGGGGAATTCTGGGAGTATTAAGTCCACACATCTTAAAATTGCCAAGGTTAAGAAATACGGATCTAGAAACCTGAGATTTCCTCTTAAAAATATGTTTCTACTTCACAGCTGCAAAGGTGATACAGCTGATAAACTCTATGAACATGGCAGTTTTATTTCAGGCACATGTGCTTTGGCTTAGTTACAGTCAGGTAGGATGAGCCAAAAGTTTCTCGGCAAAGATGAGTCTTAAGGACAGATGAAACAGAATATTGAGGAAATATCCTGGGAGACGCTTTGGAATAAAAAATAATAAAGTCTGCTGAAAACATCTCAGAGAACAGATCACTGGCTGGCGAAGAGCAGAGGGGATTAAGGAGAGATCACAGGATGATCGTAAGCATAGAAAGAAATGTGAGAAAGGGTCATAAAAATGTTGATTTTGTGCAGGATCCAACCAAATGAGGGCAGGAAGCCAGATATGGGATTAATGTGTCAGAATAGAACTGGAAGGGGCCTTGGAGGTCTTCTAGTCTAGCCCTCTACTCAAGCAGGAGAACCTATATTATTTCAGATAAGTGGCTGTCCAGTCTCTTCTTAAAAGCCTCCAGTGATAAAACACCTACAACTTCTGAAGGCAAGCTGTTCCACTGGTTAATTGACCTCAGTGTTAGGAAGTTTCTCCTTAATTCCAGGTTGCTTCTCTCCTTGATTAGTTTCCATCCATTGTTTCTTGTCCAGGGATTACCTACTCAAGAATATACGTTGTTTGGGAGGGGATAAGGGCACAATTAGAATATATTGTATATCTTTTAGTTGTTATAAAAGAAGAAATATGGGGGGGGGGAGGTCTGTGGGGGGTGACTGTAATATCTTTCTTTCTTTCTTTCTTTCTTTCTTTCTTTCTTTCTTTCTTTCTTTCTTTCTTCTCTCTTTCTCTCTCTCTCTTTCTCTCTTTCTTTCTTCTCTCTCTTTCTCTCTCTTTCTTTCTTCTTTCTCTCTCTCTCTCTCTCTCTCTTTCTTTCTTTTCTTCTTTCTTTCTTTCTTTCTTTCTTTCTTTCTCTCTCTCTCTCTCTCTCTTTCTTTCTTTCTTCTTTCTTTCTTTCTTCTTTCTCTCTCTCTCTCTTTTTTTTTCTTTCATTCTTCTTTCTTTCTTTCTTTCTTTGTATTTAGATGTATATGTACTATTATTTGTATTTAAAATTTACATAAAATGAAGAGAAAAAAAAAAGAAAAGAAAAGAAAAGAAAAGAAAGTGTCTTGTCCAGGGATCAAAAGAGGAAGGCCATATGAACGGAAGAGAATAACTTGGGTGTCAAACGACTGACTGAAAATTAAAAGAGAAGGATGTGAGGACTCTTGTCATCAAGGAAAGAGATGACTAGAGTAGTATTTTAGGAAAGATGTACAGGTGGTCCTCGACTTACAACCCATTCATTTAGCGACCGTTCAAAGTCGCAACGGCACTGAAAAAGGTGACTTACAACCAGTCCAGTGGTGGGTTGCTCCCGGTTCGGTCTGGTTCTATAGAACCGGTAGTAAAACCGTCAGGAGGTTCCGCCCACCTGCTATGACATCACCACGGATGATACGCGCGTGCGCAGAAGCGTGCATGCTTCCGCGAGCAGTACTAAAGGTAAGTAGAACCCACCCCTAAACTAGTCCTCACATTTACCACCGTGACAGTATCCTCACTGTCACGTGATCGAACATGTAGGCACTTGGCAAGTATTTACAACAGCTGCAGCGTCCCACGGTCATGGGAATCACCCTTTGCGACCTTCCTAACTGGCTTCTGACAAGTAAAAGTCAAGGAGGGAAGCTGGATTCCTTTAGCAACTGCTTGATTCGCTTAACAACTCCAGTGATTCACTCAACGTCCTTGACCAAAAAGGTTACAAAAACGGGGCACTCGACAACAACCCTCTTGCTTAGCAACGGGCAATTCTTGGCCTGATTGTGTGTTGCCAGTTGAGGACTACCTGTAAAAAGTGAGAAGGAATGCGAATGGATTTCCTGAACTCGTGGGTCAGGGATTGGCAGGACCTGCGGGAAAGCGGAAGTTCTTAAAGGAAGGAAAGAAAAGGCTCTGCTTTTCTGGCCTTGTGGTGTCAAAGTCCATCTATCAAGACCTTTCGAGGTCTGGCACGGATTTTTCACACGCGAGGGCCACTCTTTTGGAAACAGACGCTTGTAGAACAAGGGGAACATTTTTCCCAGCTGTACTTTGGCATCTGCTCCATTCAGAAGGATATATGGAGCATGTTAATGGCCTGCAAGTGAGTATGCAAATTGATGGGGACATGCCAACTCAGATGGGCTTCAGCAGTGTGCAACAGTTTCTTCCAATTCTGGAATGCAGTCAGGAGTACGGTGGGTAGGGAGTTGGGTGGGCAGATGACGGTCAGAGATGGATTGAGATAAATGGATGACAGGGGATGGAGTTCTTTGCCAGGGAGGGGGAGAATTAAAATCCCAATACCTATTTCATGTACTTATTCATTTAACAGCCATATATGGCTGCCCCTCTTCCGTGCTGTCACTCTGGGCATCTCACACCAGCAGCAATGCAGACATAAAAGAAAGAAAAAAAACCCCAAAAAATAAAAACCTAGTTTGGTTTAGTTCTAATTTAGTTTAGTTTAGTTCTACTCCCGCCTTAGGCATGAAGTCCAGCTGGGTGACTTTGGATCAATCAACAGCAAACGGTGAGGCTGGGTAACTTTGGGCCAATCATGACGAGACTGTGAGTTCTAGTTCTGTCTTAGGTAGAAAGCTGGGTGACTTTGAGCCAATCATTAGAAACAATGAGTTCGAGTCAGGGGTGAAATGCTACCGGTTCGCTCCAGTTTGGGCAAACCGGTAGTTTTTATCACTACTGGTTCAGGTGAACTGGTAGTGATAAAAACCCTACCAGCTCAGTTGAACCACTTCCCTGTTTTCCCCAAAATAAGACATCCCCTGATAATAAACCCAATCAGGCTTTTGAGCGCATGGCAATAAGGCCAAGTGCTTATTTATTTTTAAATTTCTGGGCATTTATATCTTGGAGGACCTCTCATGGACTATGAATGCTAACATGCTTGTGAAGAAGGCACCGAAGGGCCTGTACCTCCTGAGAATGCTCAGGAAGATAAATCTATCTCAGCATCTACTTCTGTCCTACTATCGTAGCACCACTGAGAGTGTCCTGACATATGGCATTCTTGCATGGTATGGGAGCAACTCTGCAGTGGACAAAAAAGCTCTACAGAGAATCATCAAAACTGCCCAGGATATCATTGGACTCCAGCTACCAGCCCTAGACAACATCTTCGAATCTCGCTGTTTGAGAAAGTTGCATAACTTTCTCAGAGACTCTTCCCATCCTGCTTACAATCTTTTTGGACTGTTGCCTTCTGGCAGAAGATACAGAACAATTAAAACTCGGACCGCACGTTTTCTGAATAGTTTTTTATCCCAGAGCTATAATTGCACTCAACAATGAACTAAAGGGCCACCATCAGTGAGCTCTTGGACAGCATTACTTGGTCTGTTGTGTGGATGTTTGGTTGGGGAATTTGTGGTTGGTGGGGGTGTGTTTGAGGATTGTTATGTGTATTGGACCTGGTCTTTAGGTGTTAAGTGAATTTTGTTGTATGAGTATACTGTGTACACGTACAATGACAATAAAGTTATTTATTTATTTATTCAGGGTTTTAAAAAATATAAGACAGGGTCTTATTTTCGGGAAAATGTGGTAGTTAAAAAAAGCTACCGGTTCGGGCGAATCGGTAGTTTAAAAAAGCTACTGGTTCCTCTGAACCAGTATTTCCGATGATCAGCTGTGCTGCGGGGTTTAGCTTTGCTAGAAAGCAGGAAATCCTACTTTCTAGCAAAGCTAAATCGCGCAGCACAGCTGATCTCCCCCACCTGCTTCTACTTATCTTCCCAAGCCTCCTTTTGGTGTGCACTGCATATGTGCGCACGTGCACACAGTGCACATTTGGTATGCACTGTGCATGCGCATGCAGCATGCATTTGGCGCAGAGTGCACATGCGCGGTCAGTGAACCAGTAGCAAATCAGTTTGGATTTCATCACTGGTTCTAGTCCCTTCTTAGGCAGGAAAGATGGTTGGGTGACTTTGGGCCAGTTATTCTTTAAGATGGTGTATCGCTCAAAGCATCTTCAAAGCTGAGTGTCTATAGAGAGTCTCATTCATCCAGGTCATGGCTGTCTCAAAGCTGCTTTTTCAAAAGGCAACTTAACTTCCTTTGTTTTCCATGAAGAGGTTTTGCTTCTTATCCAAGAAGCTTCTTCAGCTTAACTGAACTGATGAAGCTTCTTGGATGAGAAACGAAATGTCTTCAAGGAAGAAGAAAGAAAGTCCAGTTGCTTTTTGGAAAAGCACCTAGAATACGGCATCCAGTTTTGGTCACCACATTACAGAAAAGATGTTGAGACTTTGGAAAAAGTGCAGAGAAGAGCAACCAAGATGATTAAAGGCCTGGAGACTAAAAACATATGAAGAACGGTTGCAGGATTTGGGTTTGGCTAGTTTAGAGAAAAGAAGGACTAGCGGTGACATGACCGCAGTATTCTAGTATTTGAGGGGCTGCCACAAAGAAGAGGGGCTCAAATTATTCTCCAAAGCACCAGAAGGCAAGACAAGAAACAATGAGGAGCCTGGATAGCTCAACAGACTAAAAGCCTGTTATTAACATTCAGCTGTCTGCAATTATTGCACGTTCGAATCTCGCCAGGCTCAAGGTTGACTCAGCCTTCCATCCTTTCTAAGGTAGGTTAAATGAGGACCCAGTTTGTGGGGGCAATAAGCTGACTTTGTATAAATATACAAAAGTATGAAGGCTATTGCTTAACGCATTGTAAGCCGCCCTGAGTCTCCGGAGAAGGGCGGCATATAAATCTAATAAAAAAAAAAAAATGGACGGAAATTAATCAAGGAGAGATTCAACCTAGAAATAAGGAGAAACTTCCTAATAGTGAGGACAATAAACCAATGGAACAGCTTGCTTTCAGAAATTGTAGGCGCTTCATCACTGGAGGTTTTTAAGAAGAGACTGGGCAGCCACTTGTCTGAAATGGTATAGGGCAAGGGTCAGCAACCTGTGACTCTGGAGCCGCATGTGGCTCTTTCACCCCTCTGCTGCGGCTCCCTGTCACTCAAAATATGCGTCAGAACCGCCAATGTGCAACACCCGCCAGCATGTGATTTATTGAGCTTTTCAACTCCCGGTAGGCCAACCATGGATAAATCCAAGAAAAGAAAAGTTTCAGAAGAAAACAGAACGTTTAATTCAACTACATATGCTAGTTTTGTGGCCGCTCAAAAAATAGTCAGGCACAGGAAGGGTTTTGTGGCTCCCGGTGTTTTCTTTTCTGTGGGAAACGGGTCCAAATGGCTCTTTGAGTGTTTATGGTTGCCGAACCTGGTATAGGGTTTCCGTCTTGACCAGGGGGTTGGATTACAAGACCTCCAAGGTCCCTTCAGCTCTGTTCTGATGGATTGAACCTTTGGGACTTCAAAGCCAAGCTTTGCATCAGCCTTAATATCAAATCGTGGGGACGGCTGGACAAATAACGCAGTGTGGGTGATTTATGTCTTATTTTGACTGTGGCCTGCTGCTTTCCAGACATTCTAGGAGCTGAGCTGTGAAAAAAACAAATCCAAAACAACACACACAGGTACAGCTGGCTCTGAGAAACGATTTTCTCAGCTTTGGAAGCTTTTCGTAAGAACATTGGATCTTTTTCAAAGAAATGAAGGGGGTTTTGAGCAATGGATCAATAATGGGGCAGGAGAGCACCCAAACAGTTGGTGATAGGATAGTGTATTGCAAGGGTTCCACTTTCGAAGCCTCAAGAGACCATATACATGTAGTCCTTAACTTACAACAGTTGATTTAGGGACTGTTCAAAGTTATAACGGTACTGAAAAAAAGTGACTTACGATCAATGGTGGGTTTCAAAATTTTTTACTACCGGTTCTGTGGGTGTGGCTTGGTGGGTGTGGCAGGGGAAAGATACTGTAAAATTTCCATTCCCACCCCACTCCAGGGGAAGGATACTGTAAAATCTCCATTCCATCCCCAATCCAGGGGAAGGATACTGCAAAATCCCCATTTCCTCCCAATCAGCTGGGACTTGGGAGGCAGAGAATAGATGGGGGCGGGGCCAGTCAGAATTTTTACTATTGGTTCTCCGAACTACTCAAAATTTCCGCTACTGGTTCTTCAGAACTGGTCAGAACCTGCTGAAACCCACCTCTGCTTACGATCGTTTTTCACACTTAACAGCCACTGCAGCATCCTCATTATCACGTGATCAAAATCCAGGCATTGGCCATTGACTCACATTTATGACCGTTGCTGTGTCTTTCTATCACTTTTGGCGATCTCCTGACAACCAAAGTCAACGGGGAAGCCAGATTTACTGTCTTAACAACTGCAGGGGTTCACTTAACAAGTGTTGCGAGACAGGTTGTAAAATGGAGCAAAACTCAATTGACAACTGTCTCGCTTAGCAATGGGAATCTGGGACTCAATTGTGGTCATAAGTCGAGCACTGCCTGTAAATCCCCTGAACCCTTGATCGCTGCCCCACAATTTCTCCACACACACCACCAAAAAAAATTCTCCCCAAGTTGGAATTTGCCCTGTGGAAGACATGGACTACACAGAGAATAATCCTATGAAATGTATTTCATTGAGCCTAATTTTTAATTGCAGTTCAATGTAAATTAAATCTCTCCTGGCTTCGTCCCCTTAGAAATGCAGTTCCTGGTTTGCTACTCAAAGACGGACTCACCCACGCCCTAAATGAAAGAGGATGTTATAAAGCCCCTACTTTAAAGATAAGGTAGAGGGGGGAAAAAAGGGGGGATTGACTCTCTGCAGCTTTTCTGTGGCAAATACTTTTAGTTTTTGTTCTGGCCTAAGCCATTTCTTTGTCACTGCTTCCTTTGGTTTTATAGAATCCAGCCCCTGGCTGATCATGAAAAGCTCGGAGTTTGTCCTTGGCCCTGAAAAAAAAAGAAGAAGAAAAAAAAACTTCACACGTCCCTTGTATTTAGTTGAGGACAGAAACAGGATAAGAGCAAGAAACGATCAGTTTGTGGAAGTTAGAGACGAGCCATATTCATCTATGGGAACAAAAAAGAAAGAAAGAAAGAAAGAAAGAAAGAAAGAAAGAAAGAAAGAAAGAAAGAAAGAAAGAAAGAAAGAAAGAAGGTGTCTCGTAGTACTTTTTCCACCTAACAAATTTTATTAAAAGGCTCATCGCTCGTTTCACCAGTTGCACAAAAGCTCCTGCTTTTGAATGAAATTTGTAAATTGCAAAAGATGCTGCCAAGCTCTCTGGGTATTTTGTGTGTGTGTGTGTTTGTGTGTCAGTTCGGAGATGGTGGTTAGAAGAAACAAAATCTTGCGTTCGTTTCCTCTGAGGTCCCATTCTTTTTAGATGAAAGAGAATCGGATTTGGGGAGGCTTTCAGAGAAGAACTTCAGAGAATACAATGCATGGGGTACTGTGATATTTTTAGTTACACGGCGGCCGAGGCTTGTGTCTTTGTGTAAATGTACAGTGTTTCATTGCACAGTCTATTCTGTGGTTTATAGACTTGCATTCTATCCCAACGGAAAATTTCAGGAATTTTTATTGATTGATTGATTTGTCAAGAACGTATTAGATAATAAGTATAAACATGGATTGGATATATAAAATAGATACAAATAGAGGAAACATTTTACACTTACCTGCATCCAAAACGGGCCGTGTGGGGACTCCTGGGAGTGGAGAAGTGGGTGGGACGGGGCCAGCCAGGAGTGGGATTTGGGGGTTCTCCGAACTGCACAGAATTTTAGCTAGAGGTTCTCCCGAATCCCTGCGAACCCCCAGCACCCCACCCCTGATTTCGGGGTCTTTGAAAGAAGAAAATGATGACTTATGATGGGGCCTTTCCATGTGTATAGACTGAGCAGCCGCCTCTATCAGAGTGTGGGCCCTTCCCACAGCTCCACATCTCAAGACTTGCATGGATGAGTTATATAATAAGCATGGGGGTTGGAAGAGAGAGGCTAAGACAAAACCTGTAGCTAATATGTAACACACACACCCTTCCCCGCTTTTTAAACGTGGAAAGATGGATGTCTTTCCATAGATCTCGTCTGCGGCTCCTGTCGGCAAACTTCTTCCCGCTGGTCAGATGGAGACCTCGATCACCTCGGAGGCCTGTGGAGAAAGGCAAGTCCAGAGAGCCTCCAGCGAGGGCTGAGGAGGGCTGTCAGAGACATATATTCACCACCATTCCCTTGCAATTGAATGAACTTTTAGGGGCTCTGAGACCAAGTGCACGTTGCAAGACCTTACTGGGGCTTTGATTTGTGATTACAGCCTCTTTGCCCACAGCCTGGATAAAAGCTGCTTGCTTATTCTTCCATCTCCCCATCTCATATTTTTGTGACCGTGGGTTATTTTACAGGCAAGGATCTCTCACATCTCTGACTACGTTTGGGGCCAAGGGCTCCCGGAGGAGCATTGATTTGTTTTGGCCAGGTATAATTTACTTAGATGGGATTTCCCTGGGTCGCACGAGTCTCTTTTCTGCATCTATCATTCTGCAGCGCGCACGTCCCCTTCGGTGCCTGTCTATCATCTCGAGACTCTTTGGTCCATGCGAAATATTTCTTGTTTGGCTCTCTTCCCCAATGTGCTGGGCTGGCCTGTTTTTCAAGCTTCCAGAATTTGCTCTATTTCTTTCACATTAGCTACTGACCTAGACACCATACCGGGTTAATTGGTATCCTCTGAGTTTACTCTAATTATTTAATTATCTCATTTTTTTTGTTTAGTTTTGACCAGTGCATTGAACTGTACATGAATCAAATGGTTCAAACAAAATTTGAAGGCACCGAAATCCCCAAACCTAGCTAACCAAGATTAAAATTAACTGAGATTAGCACATTGGGCAAAATGCAGCTGTTAGTGTTTGAAACTGATGGATTGCCACTGGTTGAGGGTGATTTAAAACAAATATCTTTTTGTTTAATATGTTCTTCTCATTCGATAATCTCAAGCAGGGGAAACAAAACCATTTAACAAATATGCTCACCGATGAATCATATATATATATACTGGAGAAAAGAGCAGTCGGAAAGAGACAGCGGCATAGATTCAGCCGTTATAGAGCTCAATAATCTCTGAACTACAATTCCCAGAAATTCTTTCCCTTGACCAGGCTAGCAGAGACTGCTGGGAATTGAAGTCTCGCAACATCTGCAGTGGGACAGGTTGGCTAGACTGCTTAGGTCAGGGTGTCAAACTGGTGGCCCACGGGCTGGATGGGTCATGTGCAGGCCACGCCCACCCCAGCTCCGGGAAGGGGGGAAACATCGCGAGACGTCACGTGACGGCACCATGATGGCACGAGTTTGACACCCGTGCCTTGGGTGAACAGATTCATCTCAGGATGATGGTCTTTACCTGTAAGGGATCTGGGAATTAATTCTACATTCTCAGAGGCCACTATGGAGAAAGCCCTGCAACTGTCTTGAGGCGCCCCACAGCTGGGTCATATGTGGGCTTTGTATCCATGGGACTGACAGCTAGTTTGATGTTGTGGTTAAGACCAGGGGTGGGTTCTACTTACCTTTACTACCAGGATGCAACGGGGCCGTGTGCGCATGCTCGCTTCGCTCAGGCTCAGAGGTGGCATTTACCGGTTCTCTGAACTACTCAAAATTTCCGCTACCGGTTCTCCAAAACTGGTCAGAACCTGCTGAATCCCATCTCTGATTTAGGCCTTCGATGGTGGTCTGCAGGGGTGGGTGGATATAAATGTATTCTGAACTATCCTGGGGGGCGGGGTGTCCGTGAGGCCCCTCCCTGACTTGCATTGTGTTTTTATTGATATGTTTAAGTGCTGCTCAGTTCTTGTTTTGTCTTGCCCATAGACAAATATTTTTGTGGGAAGGATATCTGCCTGCCAGAAAAAATAGCAGAGCAGACAGAACATCAATGCAGATAACCTAATATGTCTGACTTTTTTTCTCCCTTTTTTTTTCATTTTAATTGCATTACTCCTTGGCGAACAATCTTGCCTTTACATTTTTCAATATGTCTTCACAAGTTAGAAGCCGCTATCTTGACAGCTTTCAGGTTGGCAAGAACATTGCATCCTTCATTAGCTTGGGATTCTGGGAGATGTAGTCTGGTACACAGCTGAAGGTCATGGGGGAAGGGTATTCTGGGAGATGTAGTCTGATACATAACTCAGGACCACAGGAACCCTCGCTCTTATTAAAGTATGACTCCCACTTTGCCCCTGTGCCTGTTCCCATAGAAGTCTCTGGCTTTTCATCCAACCCATTAACCTGGTTATCAAATTATTTTTTTTTAAAGGTGAACATACATTAAGAAATAGGAGGGGTGCAGTGGCCTAGAGGTGGAGCTCTCGCCTCACAGTCAGGAGGCTGTGAGTTTGATCCTAGGTAGAGAGATATATTTCTCTCTCTGGGCACAATGAGAATATGTCTGCTGGGGGAAAAAAAACAAAAAACCTCCGCATTGGCAACAGGAAGGGCATCTGGCCAGTAAACACTCAGCTCCATTCAGTGCCCAGACTCCATCCTGCAAGGAATTATGAGCTCATTAAAATAAGATGATGATGATGATACATTAAGAAGTAGCCTGTAACAAAATCTGTAGCATATAAGGAGAACCATTACAAGATGTGGTACAGATGGTACCTAGCCCCTGCGAGATTAGCGAAGATGTATGCAAACCTTAATCCAACATGCTGGAAATGCAAACAAGCACAGGGAACCTTCTTCCATGTCTGGTGGCTTTGCCCCAAAATTAAGAAATATTGGATAAAAATAAAAATTTGGATATCAGAAATAATTGCGGAGGATATTGAGTTAGAACCAGAATTTTTTTTGTTAGGAATGATTAAATGAAACATTAGAAAGAAAAAAAAAAGTACCTAATATTACATATAATTACGGCAGCTAGGTTAGCCCTAGCACAAGTTTGGAAAATAGATCAATTGCCATCGGAGCAGCAAATAATTCAAAAAATTTACACATGTGCAGAAATGGACAGACTAACGTTGAAATTGAAAGATAAGGAAGACTCAAAGTATTTTAAGATATGGGACAGTTGGTATGAGTGGATAAACCAATGGAAAAGAAAGTAAAGTCAAAATTTAGTATGGAATTAAAAGTAATAATTATACACCGTCATTAAGGGAAAAAAAGGGGGAAATTAGGTTTGTATATATGTGTACTTATATACATTATATATACTTTGTTTGTTGTTTGTTGATATTGTTGTTTGTATTTTAAGGTTGTGGATGTTTTATATAATTTTATTCTTTTTTAAATTTAATAAAGTTTGTTTTTAAAACAGAAAAAAAAAAAGAAGAAGTAGCCTAGATTGACCACTAAATTTGAGTTCAATAAACTGACAAAGGATGAAGGTTACCAGTGACAGTTTAGCATGTTGGGCAAAAGTAGCTGCTGGCTTGTTGCAGGTTTGGGTAAGTGGGTTGTGGGAACACAGTTTACATCACGGATCAAGACCAGTTTTGGACTTGAGGAGGCAAAGTTTACAAGGTGGCCCCCTTCAGAGGTCTGGACCAGATTTCCTTGGTGATGGAGCAGCAAAATCACTAGTTAGTAGAAGAAATGGCATCCATCAATCCCTGAATGAAATTTTACCTATGATATGCTTCTGGGTGACTATTGTTCCAAAGCATTTTTGGAACACTAATAGCTATTTCCTATGGAAAGGGAGAGGAAGACCCTGGTGGGGATGTCCTGCTGAGGTCCAAAAGGATTCTTGAGCCGCGGTGGTGCAGTGGTTAGAGTGCAGTACTGCAGGCTACTTCTGCTGACTGCCGGCTGCCTGCAATTTGGCAGTTCGAATCTCACCAGGCTCAAGGTTGACTCAGCCTTCCATCCTTCCGAGGTGGGTCAAATGAGGGCCCAGATTGTTGGGGGCAATAGGCTGACTCTGTAAACCATATAGAGGGCTGCAAAGCACTGTAAAGCGGTATATAAGTCTAAGTGCTATTGCTTAGTGCTATTCTGACCCATGCCCAATAAACAAGCTGTGTTTGCTAGGTTATCACCCCCTTGGGTTATCCTTGGGCTCTTCAGCTACTCCAGTTTCCATACTGAGTCAGCAGCTAACCCCGGTTGAGTTCACACCACAGGCAAAGCAAGAATGTGATTGGTTTGCAGTTCAGAAGGTCACTTACCAGTGGTGAGCACTTGGCTTGGTTCCAGCAACCTCTGAATTGAAA